GTCTGCGTTGTCTTTATCACATAACTAGAATATTCCTATATATTTTGTACATACAGTAGACCCTCGATTTAACGGACTAAAAGTTTCTGTCCGCGCAAATTAATGAATCAGCATTTTCTAATCAAGCTATGCAAATTAAAAAAGTATTTCCTGTAGACACAATGCCGCAATTCGTATACGACGTAACATCAGTTCGATTCTGTTTCTGTGGTTGAGACATTTGCAATTTTATGTCTCTACGTCTTTTTTTATTTATGTTTATTTATATTCTTTAGCAATTTGATAAATAGAACTGAACTGTTGTAACTTGTATATTGTAATTTTCGTATAAGTTTTTAAAACATTCGATTTAACGGGTTTTCAGCAATAACGGGCATTCCTTTTTTCCAAAACAATTTGTTAAATCTACTATATTTGTATACATGCGCTATTTTAAGTATTCTTTTTATACTCTCGCATAATTGAAATTATAAAATTATTATTCATGAATGTTGACAAAAATTGATTTTGTTTTTCTATATATTTTTCAAACGCAAGAGCTTAATTCTCCGTTGATCTGTTAGGTCAACGAAATACATATATATAGCAGATAAATGAAACGTACGACACGACCTACTTATGGCGAAGGAGGAGCTTGCTCAATGTTATTTATTTGCCACATATGCAGCGCAAGGCATACGAATATAAGAAATATTCATTAACCGGTCAACGTGTTGTAAAATTTTCAGATTCAAAAGAACGTAGAAAATTAATATTAGTGCTCAGTAATGATTAGAATTTTATAAATATTGATTTTTATTAGAATTTTTTCTTTATTATTTATCTTTCTTTTTTGCATTTTATACAATTATACAGTAAATTTAATTATTTCCAATATTTCTAAAATAGGACGCTGCGTCTAAGGATAAAAATTATACTAAACATGAGTAAAAATTTTTTCGCGGTTTTTTATCTATTAAATTTATGCCTGGACATTGCATCAAACTTACGAGAATTAACTTGACAAGTATTTCGCAGCGTGGACCGATTGTCTCTTATCAATAACTTGTTATCGACAAACGATGACGACAAAAAAATAACCGACATATCTTTGAGAGATTATAGATCACCAATAGGATCGTTTAACTGACTCACACCTATCAGAATACGCGCAGTCAGATTATCACATGCTCTTGGAAATCATCGGATTTATTGACTCGTTACAAATATATTGTATTGCTAAGGAGCTCTAATCTAGTTGATTAAAAAATCGATTTTTTACATTTTTCTGAATTCTGTATGTATATAAAACATGTGTAAAATGATTTTTTTATTCGGAAAATTCTTGAAGTTATGAACTATTGAACGTAAGCCATAAAACAGCTTTTATTAGACGAGTTAAAATTAAATGAGTTTCTCAGTGTATCGTATTTTCAAAATTGGTTCATTAATATCTCTGAAATAAGTCTAATCGATTATCTTTGAACTTTTTGTTGTAAAATGCTTTATAACTTTTTAGAACAGAATTTTTCCTCTCGGTGTACTAGAAAAAAATAATCGTCACCGCTTGGATTCGACGAGTCTTTATTTGTTAAATTATTTCACAAATTGTTTATAGAAGAAAATTAATTAAACAAATAATACTCGAAAAAGAAAATTGGAGTCCGATTGTGTGACGAAGGTTAACGTATTGAATAATTCAGCAATCGACAGATGTACTTTTCACGTTGCGACGTAACGTAGTACGACAGATCTGTACGTGCGAGAGATCGTGCTCAATTATTTGCTAAGTTTATTGCGGCTCTTCCAGCCAGTCGAGTCGCCGTTCAAAGTCCAAGGTTAAGCTACGGTTCAACTGGGGCTGGTTACTACCTGTGATTTGCGGGGCAATAATAATTTAAAAGCGGGAAATGATTGTGTTGCTAGAATTTCTTCTGAATTGAGTTATAGCGAAGAAGCCGATTTTCTAAGAAATATTTCTGCGTAAAAATATTTAATATCTTTACAAAATCGTATATTATTTTTCAAAGAAAAATTACATAAATTCGTAAATTTATACAAATTTACATTACTTCTAAAGAATCGTAAATTTATACAAATTTACATTACTTCTAAAGAAATTGTTCTGCTAGCCGTTTTATTTTCGAGATTTCCTCTCATCTGCATTAAAAGACATATTTTTGAAGTCCTAGCTTTTTATTTTGAGTATTCTATAATATAAACATTTTTGTATATTAATTAATCTACAAATAATTAAATTTTTCTTTAGATTTGTTGCACGTCAATATCGCTTTTAAAATTACATTATACACTTCTGTGTGCGAGAATCAATTGACTGAGAAGGAATTTTTTGCTGCTAGTTTTTTTGAAGCAGCTCTTATTAAAGCAGCTCTTTAATAACAGCAAAAATACATACTTTAAAAAACCACTTTAGAAAAATTGATGATCAAAGCAAAATTTATTTACTGTTTTATACACGTGACATGTTTCGCTGCTGAGTATTCACACTGCTGAAGAATAACGATGAAAAATTGTAAAATTTGCAATTTAATTCTCGAAGATGTAAATGTAAATAGTTATTAACATTAGCATCAGTGGCGTAGCTAGGAAAGAGTTTCGGGGAGGGCTATAGCTTTAATTTGTTACAAATTATCACTATTAATTAGACACATCTGCACGGTATATTACCCACACTTAGCGCGACCCAGAGCCAACGACGGGGACGTGATGGGTTCTGGCTCCTATTTTTACTTTTTTTTGTTTTGTAGTAATTTTTATTTTTTT